TTTCAGAGCTTTGAGCTTCACTGTTCGAGGACATTGCCGGCTAATCATTCGTCGAAGCTACTTGCAAACTACGGTATATCCCCCGAAAAGTGGTTTACGGTCAAGTGATGCTTTGTTGGTGTGACATAAGTGCTCAGAAAGCCAGGCTGCGGGACCAATTCCCGCCCGAGGCTAAGTTTTTTGCCCACCGGCATCCTTTCGATAACTGCTGCCAATGTTCTGTGAAACAAGGAAGTCCAAGCGCAGCTGGTAATGATACCAAGCAATTCATCAGAATTACTTGTAACTGAGAAATACTGCAAAGAACGACAGGGAACTAGCCTTCGTAAAACCCTTTTGCGAATTCTGTTGACGATACAGATGCTCATGGATCATTCTATTATTGGGAGGTCCGATAAATCTGAGCGAGGTGGGTGCAGGTCAACCGTCCGTTTGCACTATTCAAACGAGGAGGTCACATTTGTGATTCGGGAAGGGGGGGTCGCATTTTGGGGTTGAGCAAGGTTATCATAGTGGGAACGGAGGTTGACGGAAGGTCGTTAAAGGGGTTGTGTTTGGACGGGTTTCTTGACGAATTTGGTGAAAGTTTTACGAAAGTAGTGAGAATTAGGGTAAATTGGTGGATTCGCCATTTCATGATATCAGTTTACCCCCGCTCGACGGCACTTCTGGAGGAAAAATTGTGTGGAGTTAGGCGGGTTGTGTCGACTGGTCCTACAAGGGAGGTCTTTCAGGGCAAGGTGCGCTTTTTGGAAACGGTTTAGTACATGTTGTAGGGACGCATGTATGGACCACAAAACCATGTTTCGTTTTCGCTGAACGGTTTTAGTAGTACCAAAAAAGTGGTGAATAACTCTTGATGGTTCAATCCCCGCGGCGACTAAATTTTGCAATCAAGGTTGGCGGCCACTTGTTGGGTCCTGACGATGAATTTGACATCTGATTTTGATATTTAGCGCGATTTGGCACCAAACCGTAGGCGCCAACCCAAATGCAAAATTTAGTCGCCACGGGGGATCGAACCCTTAACAGTACCTTATGCTTCTTTTTTGGTACTGCTATAACCGTTCAGCGAAAATGAAACATGGTTTTGCGTTCCCTACATGCGTCCCTACAATATGCACAAAACCGTTTTGAAAAAGCGCACCTTGCCCTGAAAGACCTCCCTTGTTAGAATCAAATGCTATGGAAACAGCCCTGGGTGGATGCGGCATTACAAGCTCGGCGTCGACGGCGGCAGTATTCAGGGTGAGGATAGGGCTTCTGAAGATATTTGGAATAGTAGTCACCTGATGCAGAAACAATCGACCCCATACAAGTTAGCGCTTCTCAAGCACTACAAAAACAACAATGGCACTGACAAACTCGTGGAAGGTAAAGTAGCTGGGAGGTAGATTTCCGAAGAAATGAGGAGATGACTTTGATGAAGAAAAGGGTCGACGACCAGGCGTTAGCTTCACCCACATGGGAAATGTCACACTTTTTGGAGGCGTCCGCGACCGACCCGCAACACATCTGCACCTCATTCGCCTCCCACCACCTCGATCCTCCGGAATTCACGCGATTTCTCGTGTAATTTTCCTACCACGCACATCGACACAAAACCATATGTGAAACAAGACAAGCGTGGGAGAAATTCGAAGATCACTGGACAAAAAATGCGTGTAATGGGAGACAGGCGGCATAGAAAAATAAGCAAGGATGCCACTCCTTAGATGTTTGTGCGTTTCAGTGATTCGTCTTTCATAGCATTTCATTGTAGTCCACTCTGCAGAATGTACATGCGAACAATTATTTGTTAACTTGTTGTTATTTGTCCTCCATAGTAGCGCCACTGAGCAAAATATACCTAAATTTACAAGGTACTTGGTGCTAATGACTTTAGACGTCGCCGACTCCAGAGCTGAAAGATCTTTCGCTCTCTTCTTCCGCTATAAGTTCCTATATGGTTCGACCTATTGACTCATAACAAAATTAGCTCGACTCCTTCGGCAGTTAATTCTCCGTGAGAGTAAGAACATAGTCGAAACGTTCCCATTCAGAAACGCGATGGTGTTAGGAGCTCTGAAGGGAGTCGTTTGGGGTGTGCTAAGAATTTTCAAAATGGTTTTTGCATGATATTAAGGCACATGTGGGACCATCGAAACCACAGTTCACACCTTTTCACCAGTTTTTCAATCAAAGTCTATTTGTAAGGGTTACTGACGGTCCTAATCATGAATATGGTACTAATTATTCATGCTAACTCCATTTTGCGCGAATTTTGAAACGTCAACTCGAAATGCAAAAATTTGTCACCACGAGGAATCGAACTAGGGACCCCCTTTTCTGGTATTCAGAGGGCCGTTCAGGAAAAATGAACCATGCTTCTGTGGTTCCCACATGTGCCCCAATGTCATGCAAGAAACCATTTTGAAAAAGCTTGGCACACCCTGAACGACCTCCCTTGTTAGAGCGCTCAACCCTTTGTCTACTGCTGGTACACATGTGTACCACTTTCGCAGTCAAAGGCGCTACCACAGTTCTGGTGCTTATTTCGATAGGAATTTTGCATGGATGGAAACTTTATTATTCTTATCTTAGAACAAAGTCACAAGACAAGGCGAGTTACCCTGATGAGTTACTAAAGCAAGTCGTACCGAAGGTCACAGGCCAGGTGCGCAGCTCCCAAAGAAGTAGTTTCATGTTTCGCACACTTTTAATACTGAAATGTGTAATTGTAAATGGTAATTAAATTGCCGAATTCATATTTATAAAATGTTCATTCGAGCGGGCAACCTGCCTACTGCTGGACACATGTATGCTATACGAAGTTACACAAGTTATAGGGCGTGAATTACGACGTTCCTGCCGCAATCACGTACATTGCGCTCGCAGCGACGCGCTTTCTGCGGTAGCCATTCTGAAGGTCATGCCAACAACGACGCTACCCCTTCGGTCCAGGGCAGCAATCCAAAAATGGTCGAGCGTCGCAGCGTACGCTCCGCCGCGCGGGCAGGGAGCCTGAGCGCCGCCTAGTGTAGTTGGCGAGTTTGCTCGACGCGTTCTCTCTTCGTTGAAGCGCAAAACGAGAGCGAGCACACGTCTTGGTGCTCGCTCTCGTTTTGCGCTGAAATCCAAAATGAAATCCAACAAGTGGACAAACTAGGCGACTTCAACTGACGTAAAGTAAAGTACAACTCTTCTCCACTATTAGACCCCTCCGCATCTGAAACTTTACTACTGAGCGTTTCCACACACCAATTTGATCCTGGGGCTTGCCTTCAAAAGTCTTGTCTCAGGTATCCGTTGAACTGGAGGATTTATCATCTCTTTTCATCTTGTTCAAATCAATCGACCCGAAATCACTTTCCCGTGATTGCCCAGATTTTAGGAATTTATACACCGACTTCCCCCACCAGTCAAGGTGGCATTCAAAAGTCATCCTTGTCCACTCCTCGGCACTGAACTATAAAAAGCCCATAGCTATGAGGAGTTTAGAAGGCAATGATGCTGGAATGCTATCCCTACAGAACGAGAATCATTCAATTTCCATAGCTATATAGTTGGACTTAAAAAATGAAAAGCACTCTCTCGTGCGATAGCCATAGCTGTAAATTTTGCTGTATTTGTTCCTGCGTTACACGTGATATAGACGAAGGAACTTCGTCTATATCACGTGAATGAATGAATAGCGAGAACGTATTTATTTACCCTCACTAACAACAACAGAATCGAGTACTTCACATAGTTAATAATCTTGACACGTATAGAACCAGAAGGTGGTTAATAACTCTCTTAAACACATCACATCAGCTGGCTAACACTGCATTGAGTGAAAACTATTTTGCATGAACTCAACCCAATCTTGATAGCTATGTACCACACAACAATTTCGAAATGAACTCGGACAGGATGTCGGATTAGAGAAGCAGAGTCACCATTCTCTGCTTCTCCAACCATCGTATTTATAGTGAGAGTATAGGCATAGCCGTTTTTGAAAATAAGGGTGCGGCATTTCTTGGCGACGAATTCCCAACCATGCTATGGGAATGAGAATTTTCGCCTGAGTTTATGAATGGGGAGGAAGCTGAGGAGTGAGCAGCCACTTTTTACGCGAGCTCCCTTTTTACACAAGCTGGTGTCATAGTTCGCGATCCGTGGGGCGATTCGCGCGAATCGCAAAATCGCAAGTGCCCCATTTGAACATTTGAAACACTGAATATGAAACAAGTAGAATCATGAACAGTCGTCATTCAACCATCACCATCAAGCAGAAATGGCGGCGGGATTGGAGAGCACCTCGCAGTATTGATCGGGCACTTGTGATTTCTGTGGTCCGTGCGATTCGCGCGACGGATCGCGGACTCTGACACCAGCCTGAGGGATTTGATTTTTCACCCCGATGCTCTTCGCCAAAAACACATTTTCCCCAGCGTTGTCTTTTCCGCACCACTTAGCACCAGAGGCCACTGAACATACAAAAAATATAAAAAGTGGTGTAGAAACAAAACTCATTACATTTCTTGACTTCGAAAGATCCTTGAGAACCACACCCTCCCCCGACACACACCATTTTTTTCTTTGCTTATAATCACAAACATGAGACTAGATTTTCTATGGGCTGCGGAAATGGGGCAGACTTTCCTGTTCGAGTTCATCGGACTTATAGTCATACAACACCCAGTAAAAGTCATGTACATGGATATCATCAGGAAAACGTCGCATAGAAAGAGCGACTATGTTGGCACGCTCTATTAAGAAATAAACGAATCATCAATTATCGTTTGTATCAGTAAACGAATAAGCAGAAACTAGAATCTAGCGTACAATAAAGAGCACTTACCCCAAGGTGCACCGTGGAACACAAACTAAAGAACATGACATGAAAATTGTGTAGATACGGGTCGGATAGAAAACATGTTAGAGAGATCACAGACAGTTGAAGAATCCCTGGCGATTTGGTGACAAATACGAATAATACTATATATTTCACGGGAAACTATGTTTCACGCCATTTCCTAGCACTCTCTTGTCGAGCAATTGGACTCTTCCTCATCGGTCTGAAACACCTGCAACTAGTTACTCACTGCATTGTTAATGTACGACATGTCTGCAAAGTGATCTCAATGAAATAATATGCAGATTAAAAGGTCGACTGTAACAGGATTAAAGGACTTTTTGATGCCAACGTAATATCTTTCAATCTATCAGTTCGTCAGGGACAGATGTCTGGTTCGATAATTCTATTTCAAAAGGGGGTAAGCTGACATCAAAAATATATAGGTGAAGATTACAAAAGCTGCGCATGTTCACGAAAGTTGTTCGATCTCAAATGCGAACAGGAGACAAAAACGATTTCTCAGCGCGTTAATTTTGTTCAACCGTAACCATATTGGCACAGGAACAAGGGTCAACCCTACGTTTTTACAAGTACCAACGGGGGGGGGGATCGTACTTGTTTCGATAGCAGGAAAATACATGGGATGAGGCGAGAGCACGCGGGAGAAAACTTACCGTTTCATAGGTAAAAAAGGTAAAATGGAAGGAAAATGAGGGAAAAATAAAGTAAAATAGGGGAATTTTGCGGTTTCATGGTAGTTATATACCCCCCTCCCCCCACCCCCCGCTCGACGGTGTTTTTCGAGGGAAAAAAAGTTGTGAAGAAGGGGTCGTATGAAATCTCTCATGAAGGAGGGGGGTCGTAAAAAAAATTTCAAAAAGTTTCAACGGTAGGGTTGACCCTGCTGGAACCAGGGTCAACCGTCACGTTCGAACATTTTCGGGATTTTTGCGACCCCCTAGCTCTCGAGGGGGTCCAGTTGCGACCCCCTGTTTTTGTTAATAAGAGTGCTAGACATGAATCCGTTGCGCCAGAAAGCGTCTGCGCGTCGTCGCGTCGGCCTTGGAGCGCGGCAGGTATCACCCGGGCGCTGGAAGAACGGGACGCGGCGAAGAAAAAATTTTAGAGGGGAATAACTTTCTTGGGACGTATTTTTTTGACTTGTTGAGGTAGATTTTGATTGTGCCTGAGGTGCGCTTTCAGAAAACTACAAGGATTGCCTAACTCTCCGGAAAGTACTTCTGTTAGAAGTGGAAAACCCAAAATTCTAAGAAGGCGCACCTTCAACTTTGAAGG